ACCTGGACAATATTTCTTACTTTTTTCTTCTTTGTTTTTCTATAAAAATCATTTAACGATTTAAGAGTATAATTACAAAATGATTATGATTAAGGTGTTTTATGTTTTTTTATCTTAGCTTACTGGAAACATTCTTAAAGTTACGCCGATATATTTTGAAACATTCTGTATATATATATATATATATACTTAATTTCTATAGGACAATACATAGTATAATACGACTATATAAAGTCCGAAGGACGAAGATACGAAAGAACGCGAATAAACGGACGTTCTCGTCAAGGCTCGTTTCAATTCCGAAGAAGTTTTCTTCTTAGTAAGGGTATGCGGGTAGAATCGTTCGGTCAATTTAAGATAATTTTGTCTTGGGATCGAGCACAACTACGTTTACAACTATACCCTCCTGTTTCCTTTCTCTCACATTTTTGTTCCTTCTCAAATTGTATTTTTTCTTTTACTTTTAACGAAGTTTACGTATACGCGTTTGATATATATTACTTTTTTATTTTGTCAGTTGACCACGTCTTGTAATTTCGAAAAGAGTATTTTCTAACGTTAGTAGATCACGGTAAGAAGAAAAAAAAAAGGGACGACGATGTTCGGTTGTTGTGTATTCCTGTGAAGAAATTCCTGCTTAAAGGAAATAAAAAAAGGTCAACTTTTAGGAGTTGGAAAATGATTGCGATAGATTTCGCACCCTTTTTAAGAAAAAAACCGTGGTTGTAATTTTGGGAACTGTCAGTCCTCCCCTCTTTTTATGAAAAATTCTTTCATCGGATTATTAAAGTAAACGAATGAAATGATTTCTTATGTAATCATAAATTTCGTTTAGAATTTGGTAAAAATTCATTTTCTAATTCGGATAGAATGTATAATATATAATGATAAGGTCGAAATAGTTGTCTGCGGTTTTGCAGTACGTGAAACTATGCACTCTAATGCCTTAGAGATCGAAATCATGGAGGACAAAACAACAGGCATCGTACCCTTGACTCTTGACCCCCATTGTCTTTAAATTAAATCCATTGTGTATCCCTTCGGTGTGTTTGAAACTCGGTTAAAACTTTGCTCGTTAGGACCTGCGGTATTACACAAATTTCTTAATAATTAGAGAGTTTCAGTTATATATCTGGAATAATGTGCTATTTATATTAGTGTCATTTCTCTTTAGTTAAATACAGGTAATTAGCATCTTAACGTAGATAATTATCGCGTTATTATTTCCCCTTAAAAAAGAAAATAATTTCTTTAGCGAATAATGCAATGTCAAATTCATTCATTTAGGTTTTTGAGGATATTGAAGGTAATCGAGCGATTCTTCTCAATTCGTTTCACCCTTTATATTCTTTAAGAGTATACGTCAGAACCTTGAAAGCACTCATGCTTGCAAGGCGAATATAATTAAGAGTATATTAAATTCGTAGAACGTCGATGTTCGCCCTTAGGCGAACACACCCTTTTGTTATCTGAAATATAATTTGGTGAAAGGGGAACTGAATTTTCAAACAATTATTCCATCATCTTAGAGCTCACAATTCAAACAAATATTATCTTTCCTATCAACAATCCCGTAAACGTTATCTTTTTTATTATTTAATTTTTTATGCAAATTTTCTTTCATTCTTTATTAATCTTTAGGCAAGTTTATTACAAAGTTCTTATAAATGTTTAGATAGGAGTACGGAGGGTCGTGCTAAACATAAACAAAGGATATAAACGATTGACATAGTCAAACTGTATGACAAGGAGCCAAGGTTCAGTCGTTTGCCAGTTCTCGGTGTGAGTGTGTTTACAAGCTTTCGTAGTGACGCGACGTATAATTAAACTATGTAAATTTAATTAGAAATTTAGGAAAGTCTTAGAAAATAATAGAGTAATATTATACTCGATTAAAAATAATTTTAAATACGAATACAGATACATACATGTGTGTGTGTGTATATATAAAAAAAAAACAAATGAAATCAAAAGTTATAAAACGTTAATGTTAGAAAATAATAAAGTAATTCTGTATCATTAAATTATATAGGATCGATACTCGATGAAACTTTCTCTAGGATCTTTAGATTTTTGTAAATAATCTCGTGTCGATAAATCTTTACCGAGAGAACGCGTGACGTAGCGTTTTAAGTTTACTTTTAAGTTACTAATGATCTCAACGTCGCGTCGAGGAAGCAAACGATGCACTCTGTCTTTGATTGGTCTCGATTAAAATCTACTTGCGAAATTCGTTCGTACGTTCTTCAACGAGTTACGAACGAGAGTCAACGTTCTCAAGTAGGTACAGGTATCGAGATTATTACTCGAGTACTTTTAATGGGATCAAAGCTAATTACGTTAATTATTAGATTAAGTAATAAATTTTTATAAAAGGGTAAACAAGTAGAGATTAAAATTACCGTTACGTTATTATTAATCATTATCGTATATCTCCGTATACTTTTCATCGAAGTATTAACATAATCGCGAGAAATATTTTTACATTTTATTTTGATTCATGTTTATTACCAGAGTATTATATTAATAATAATTGTTATTAACGTTGTTACAGCAATAACATGTTATAGATTTTCTTTTCTAAGAGAATAAAAAAGAAAATATTTCCTCAAAGCCAAGTTCAAATGGGAGAAAACAACGGATTTGTTTTATTTGATCCTTAATTTTTTTTTTTCCTTGAAAAAGGTAGGAAGAAATGACTATTCGCGTTTTTATTTTGTCCGGTATTTGAGGGAATCCGGTACTTGGCTCAACTTTCTCGAGATAAGGGTAATTCCTTCTGTTTCATTTTGACACTTTCTTTCCGTCCTCGAGATAAGAAGTTAACTTCGATGAAAGAAATTTTTCTGTATATATATATATACATTCCTTCATATTTATCTTCGTGTATAAACATACCTCAACTCGCATAATCCAAATTTCCAATAGGATGGATCGCACGACGAATTAGATTTCTACAATTTAATTAGATAAAAATTAAAATTTCTACAAATAAATAATAGATTCTTTATATATAAATTCTAAAGATAGTAATGAATGATTCTTAATTCATTAGCTGCCACGATTCCCATTTGGGGATTTTGTAATCTTATGTACACATCTCGGTTATATCTGGACTGCATAGAAAAATGGCATAAATAATAGCTACTTTTGTATGTATAAGATAACGCATATAACAAAAGAAATAGTTTCTTATTAGAGTTTTCTTTCATGCAATCTGCCACAATCCTCATTTGGAAATTTTTTAAAAACAAAACAATTTGGCAGTCAATGGCCAGTTGATTTGGCAGTTAATGTTTCTAGTTATTTTCTTATACATTTTTCATTTAATGCGGGACATTTAGTATCTTCTCGTGGTTATTATTATCGTTGTTATTATTACACAAGAGACAATATAATAGATTTAATTCGACACTAATATCGTAATTATCGTTTTTTATATAATAAAAAGAAAAAATACAAAGTTATGATACTAATGAATCTTATAATCAGTCGGTTGATAAATAAACTATTTCGACCTCAGTTCGATTTCTCTCTTGAATTTATCTGAAAGAGAGAAATTATTGTTTTTAAAATGTTTCGAAGAGTGTTCTCGCTAAATAACAGAGTTACGATCTCTCTCTTTCTCTCATTGGTTATATCTTTCGCAAGGTACTCACGGTCGATAATTCACGATCATAAATTCGGAGATTCTGAAACGAGTTTTCGAATCGTGTGCGATTTAATCCCCCAAGTATGCATGAGCTTATATACTCTGTGTATTTTAAATCTCTGCATGAAATTAAAAAAATAAATAATACAAAATTTAAAACAAAACTTTCTTATTAATTATTTATTTATTAGTAATTATCTTTGTTAGATTATATTAACAAAAAATTCGTTTGTTTTCATACTCGTTGTACTTTCAATTAAACGATAGAATCGTTGAAATATCCAGATAAAGAAAGAAAGTAAAGGAAACCAACGACCGAATGATAACAGAAAATGAAAACTCCTGTTTGATTATTTTACGTTGATTAGTAGCATAAAATAATAATTTGGAATATTGGACGAGAAACTTTTGATCGTTTCGTTGTTACCATTTTCAAAATTATACGGAACATAATTTAGATTACAATCGATATTGGATTATCTCGTTGGTTAATTACGGTAGAGAATAAATTGCATGATTATTCATGAACGTTAATACTACGAGCATAAGCTCGAAATTAGTTTCGTTAGTTCGCGTTAGAATTATCCGAAATTTTCTTTACTTCATATTCGATGAAATTCTACGCGTTCCTCTGCTTCCTTTTTTTTTTTTTAATTATTTATATTTCATTCAAAATCTATATAGTTTTTATTTTATTATTATTATTATTTATTTTAAAAAATATTAGTTTATGCATAATAATGGACGGTAAAATAAAGTTTTCCGTTTTTCTTAGCACCGCTAGTTTCATTGACTCGTACCTTTCTAACACCATTACTTCACCTCTTGGAAAATAAGAATATACATTCCCATAGGATTTCCCCATCGCCATTGTATTCTCGCAATATATCCGCGAAGTACGATTTATCCGCTATTCTAACTTTATCTCATTTCTACTATTAAACGATCTAACAACAGAGTGAGAGGAAATTGTTCTCATGCTTGTTATATTCCTTCCTAAGGTCACGGCCTTGAAACTATCCACGACACAGTTATTTTCTTCTAATTAAATGATTACACTCGATTAAAATATATAATTATGGGGATTTTTGGAAAATCAGATTAAAAATATTCAAGCGAGAAAGCAAACGTTGGCTAATATTTAAACAAAACAAAAATAACAAGATCGTCGAGAATTGATAATTAAAATAAATAAAAAAATAAATAAAAATAATAAAATTCGATCTAATTTGAAAAATATTTTAATTACATATCAGGATCTATATATAATTAATAAAATCGTAATTAAAAGTGTTCCTTTGTATTTATTTCATTTTCAATCACTTAAAATAATTTTTTCTCGTTTCAGATGATAGTGATGAAAGACGGTTAAGAAATCAACGTGTTTGACCGATGACACGAATTGCATTGGTGTTCGTCGAAAAGGAATCAACGTGCGAGCCCTTTTTCATTTCAACTTGGACAACTTTTAATTAATCATTCGTTACAGTCTACTCAAAGAGGTCGAGGCATCGTGATTAATATGAAAACACGATGACGTCTTTGGTTCAAAGAGATTTCGAGTCTCCAAGAAAGAGGGAATCCACTGGTAGCAATGCATCCAGTTATTTACTTGTAAGTACACTGCTCACGTGTATGTAATTAACGCCCACGTTAATAAACAAAATTCATAATTTACACATTTAATCGTTGTCTATATGCAGCAAAGAATGAGTTACCATAAAGACAAAATTTCAACAAAAATTATTATTATTATGTAAATTACCGAAATCTTGTAGGTATTTACTTCGGGTTCATTAATCAAGAATGGTTCATTTATATTTCATTAATAATCATCGTCATGTTGATCGCGACGTGTAGAAAATATCCTTGAGATATATATATATATATAAGAGAAGAAGAAGAAGAAAGAAAGAAAAGTAACTAAGGATAATTTTGTAAAGCATGTCCTAATCGTTTTCCGCTTAATCATCGGTGAAAGTTAATTCATTGGTGTACATATATTTAATGTTCGTTGAAATAAAAAAAAAAAAAGTAGGACCGTTTAATCGAAAATGTCATTTAAAGTTTTCACGAATGAGCGTATAATTAATGAGTTACATCTTTGATCCTGGTGCGAAGAAAGATCATTGGCTACAACTTTCTTTTCTTTTCTTCAATCTTCCTTGTAAACTGATTTACGATCTTCGACGTAAACGATCATTTAATAATTCATTTTGACATTTTATTTTTGTACAAAAATATATTCTAAATATTAACGTAAAAATATAGAATCGTATTTAATTGACTTAATCTTAATATAAAATCAATTGGAAAATGAACAAAAGGAAAAAAGAAATTTTCGATTGATTGGTAATAGAAAAATATTAATTAATTATTTCATAAAAAGAAAGAAAGGAAAATATTTTTAATTAATAATATGATGTTGAATAAATTCAAGAAATATCATGGGAGCTTTATCGTAGAATCAGAAAAATTTGACAAAGATTGATATCCCTACAATTGTGTTCAGTATAATATAAAACGGTATAATAACTTTTTTATAAAAATCAGTCTTGTAGATTTGCGTGTATATTTAGTTTCAAGAAAGCAAAAAGAAAAGAAGGAATCGAAGGATAGGTAGAAGTCTTTTACAAATTTTCTTTTTTCTTTCTTAAAAAAAAAAAAAAAAAGAGAAAATACGGAAAGAGAGATACAAGATGGAAAGAAAATTGCGTATGGCGGAACCAAATGGGAAGAGATGGTGTTCTCGAAGGGTCGAAGGGAGTAAAAGTGGTGCCATTTATCAGGAAAGACGATAAGTATCGTCGCGAGAAGGTCGAAAAAGAAAGAGAAAACAGAGCTAAGAAGAAGAAGAAGAAGAAAAGAAGAAGGCGGTGAAGAGGGATGAAGAGAATATGAAGGGGGTGGATTTAAGAGAAAGTAGTGGTGGAAGGAGGTGTTGGAAAATTTTCCTAGGTCAAACTTCCCTTATATTTCTAAAAAGAAGAGGAACTACATAAGAGAAAGTTTCTTCTTCTTCCAACCCTTGTTCTCGTACTTTCTCCCCTTATTTTACCTCCCTTCTCTCCACTATTATTATCGTCATCGTCGGCACTTTGATTAGATCCATTCTATTTGCTGTCTTTATTTTTTGCTATATTCTTTCAGAGAATTTGTATGTCTTTTATGAATTATTTCAAGAATCTTTTTCTCTTTTTTATATTTTTATATTTCATGTGCATTTATTTATGTTGATTTTGAGAATCTGGTGTCGTATGCTTAAAAATTGCAATCTCTGAAAATTGAACAATGGAAGATCATAGGATGGCATTATTTATATTTGACGAATTTTATATAAAAGGGGCTGAAAAATGGCGTTTGAGTTTCTCTCATCAACGAGTCAAACTGAGTTCACTTCAGTAGTAGTAGTAGTAGTAGTAGTAGCAGTAGCAGCAGTAGTAACACATACAACGAAGGGCTACGAAATCGTTTTTATGCAAATTCTGTCATAGCAGAAAGTTATGTTACTCGTCCTTTTGCTAGAATTAATGTTTCTCGTATATATCCTTTTCATTTCCTTACGCGTCAAGGAAAATGACAAGAGGAGAGACAGAATTTGATGAATAAACGCTTTTACTACCCCTATGAATTACTTCTTATCTCTTTGAAGGAGCAACGTTTACAAAATAAAAATGTATTTCTTATCTTTAAGCACTTTTCCCACTTTCTACGGAGGTATAGATGTAGGTGTACGGTGCGGATGTAGGAGGAGGATGAGGTAAAAGAAAAAAAAAATGAAGGAGAATAAGCACTTTTAAGGCGTCGAAGCGTCATAAACGTAGCTTTAGAAAGAAGAATGGTAGGTTGCAACTACTTGTGAATATTCAGCCGAGCATTAACTCGCACGGCTTACGTGGCTTCCTGGGGACGAAAGGACCATCTGTTCTTATCCACGTGCCAACCCATGTGCCAACCCATGTGCCAACCCATGAACGTTTTTAAGCCGAGAAAAGAGGGACGTAATATGGCCACTACTACTAACACTACCACTACTAACACATAAATAATCGAGTACATAAGTAGTACTTACTATGTGAAAAACAAAAGTAATAGAAAGAAAGAGAAAACCTGTATCGTTGCATAACTCTTGCCTATAGCCCATACTTTTTATCTCCCAAATTTTTCATTTTATTAACAACCTTTCTTTATTCTTTCCCATAAATTTCAAAAGTCTCCTTTAGCTTCGTTCGTTTTTTTGCCCCTTTTTTCTTAATCCCAATATTTTTCAACTTACGAATTTTCTGTACATTTTTTTTTTTTTGAAGTCCAGAATAATTTAAATATTGCGACGATAATTGTATTACTTGAAAATATCGTCCTTCGTTGAATTCGTGGATTCAAATTTGATGCTTTTAATAATATAATAAGAAAATGTTGTGCTAAGTCTAAAATATCAGAATATATTGATTCTGAAATCTACAGCAGGTCAGACACATTTCTCATTCGATTATATTAAATATAGGAGAAGAGAGAAAGAGGTAAGTTAATTACGTTATAATTACTTAGTGAGTAGTGGTAGGAGAAGGTACTTGAATTAATAATGAATTTAACGTAGTCGTGAAAATCGTATTCATTGTATGACAGCAGATGGCATTCTCTTTTAAGTCGAAAATTAATGATTACCAGTTGAGAAGGATTGATTCGACAATTTTAATGACGACTAGATTTTATATCTTCTATCTGTGTGTGTATTTGCGTATACGTGAGTTTAGTAAAGTGTACGAACTACCTTTGCAACCGAAAGGATATCGATACTCTCGATTTGCATATCGTTTTATTCACCGGTTTACCACCGGAAGCCAAATTAGCCATGCGTCCTGAATTTTTCATACACTTGTCTGCCTACTCTTTGTATATATACGGTGTCTTACTAGTCACGAATAAGATTTATTCATTGAATGAACTACATCGGTGTGTCTCTTCGACGTTGTAGAATGAATCGTCATAAACTTGACAAAGAAGAAAAAAGAATAAAAAGAAAAACAACAAGGAAATAGGTTATATCGGTTTTATTGAGCCACCCGGTAGAGTGCAATTTAGTCTAAGGCAAGTCGTCGTTCTAGTCACTTGGGTCGTGTCTCGAAAGTTTCTTCTGACTGAACTGTCGATATATTCTATCTGTGGACCTAACTGCGGCTTTACTTTGTCACGAAGCATCCTCCTTAGTCCTGTAACTATTAAAGGACGAACCAACCAACCTCTCTCGCACCTATCATATATAGTCCAAAGGACTAGCAAATTCATTGTCCTTCCGGCTAAAATTATTTTCCTTCACTAGAGCTTGTCACCGAACAACCAACAACCGTGGTTTCTATTCTTCTTAAACTTCAAAGGAAACTCCTAGATCATTAATATTACTGTTATTATTATCATCATCATCGTGAGATGTTCAAATACGATCTAATCAATCGTCTTAGATCTCTCTTTTCGAACGTTCCATTTTCCTTTTTTGTTTCGTTCGATATTTCTTTTTTCCTTTTTTTAGGATAGTATCGAAAAGGAAGTAGTCGTATATATGTATACCTTGAAATCTTGAAAAAAAAAAAACGACCGTGAGAAAAAATTTCGGCCCATCACTGTATTTTGAAGCCTTCGAACAGAATATTTTTCTTCTCTTGACATTTTTTCTATCATAAAAAATAAGCAATATATTAAAGGTGCTATAGTTAGGTGAAAGACCCTGTATAATATAGATTGTTTTGATTAGATGTTGCTATAGCAATGTAACGTAGGATGGAAAAGGTTCGTTCGCGTATTGATTCCTAGGTAAACTTGACGTTCTCTGTATGTGTAACCTACGAATAACGTTCGCTGTTAAAGTTCACTGCGATCATTCGCGTGTCAGTTGCATTAAACTCGATCTCGGTAATAATTCGTAAAAAGAAAAAACAAAAATATATTATTTTTATCCTTTTTTTAATTAAAGTGAAAGTATAGTGAAAAATCAAATAAAATTGTCTCTCAAGGTTCGCCTTCGATTGTGATTTACAGAAATAAAAAAATGAAAGGACAAGAAATTAAATAAATACAAGAAGTAGTGTGTTAGTGAAATATAATAATAACGTGATGTTTCAGAAGATAGTTTATAGAAATTGCGATTTATTATTTTTAACGAAAATCCTTAATTAAACAATAATTTTTCTTTCCCTATTTTTTTTATTAACTAAGTTAACTCTCAAGAGGAGAGCTCATTTATTATCAAAGTGCATTATCTCTGAAGGCGTTTATTTCCAAGACTAGAAGCTCGGTGTTTTACGACGTTCTTCCATTAAACTTGAAGTTCGAAGTACGTGGTTAGAATGTTTCTTAGTCTAGTCGATTATGAATATGTCGTTTTAATTAACTATCCTAATTTAAAATATAAACGTGCTGTGGACTGCTTGCATTAAAAATATAAACTATATAAAAGAAAGAGAGATGATTTAATTAGGAGACGAGATTATTCAATTATTGTGATTTTGAAATGCACTTATTATTGGAATTTTAATTCATTTCTTTTTTTTTTTTTT